TTCACTATCTCTCCTACTGTGGCCAAAGAAGTGGAGATATTTGAACGTTATATCCTACGTAAATGTATAAATCAACATTACGAAAACCCGACAAAGAAGTTTTCAAACACTCACATTTATGGTAAAGCTGGAGTCCAACCTTTCTGCCAACACGCATTCTATCTCTTAAAGAAGTTTGTAGATGGGCTAGAGTCACACGAAAATCCTATTATCAACTCTATATATGAAACGGAAAAACACGTATCTTGGTCAAATTCAACATATTTATCTGCCATTGGCATTATCAACGAAAGCCTCGACATTGATCCAGACAATTGTAATGTACCTGATTTTTATAAGCCAACACAAAGAGCCCACAGAGGCTAAACATAAACATATATATTTATATTTATAAAATTATATTTATAAATTCAATTTTTGAGTTATGCTCTTTCGTTTTAATTTATGTGTTTTGTTTTGACATATATTTTCTAAACACCATCTGTGATATTTACACATACATACTTTTTTTTACCATATGTTCATCTAACATACTCGCTGTTTGATAAAGATATTAGCAGTCTCTTGTTATCTCTTTTTAATTGTTATGTATTTTTAAGTAATTTATTATCTACAGACACACACGCTCTGTTAAAAAATGTTAAGGCCGTGAGCAAGCCTTGCTCTTCATTCATTTTGCACGTACGCATTTCCGTATATTCATTTTAAGCATGTAGCATCAATGCATTTAATTATTGGATTAGAATAAGACAAATATAGTTCTAAATTATCATGTCATCATTTTACTTTACATTAACCATGTTATCGAAATAAGAAGAAGACTCAATAAAAAAATTTACTTACTTAAAAAAAATTTAGGTACGACCCTTATATAAAAATTTCGAATTCGAATCAAAAACGCCTAATATTATTTGAATGTAAAATTTTATGGTTCTTATAAAAACGTTTTAGATTAGATTTTCTTTCTTTTTTCGTTTCAATTCGTTTTTTGAACTACAAAATGAATTTCCCTCATTTTGCACATCACATTTCTAATACTGCTTATAGCTAGACAGACATTATCCCAATTTGCATGAGTTGTTAATGCACAAAACCTAACTGTCGAAATTCAATTGACTGTTGTCAAATTTGTTTATGTTTGTAAAAAGAAAAGTGAGAAACAAACACTAGTCTTCCACTTTGTTATGTATCAATTCAATTTATTTCATAAACAAGAACCTAGCCAAAAGGGCCATGAGCGATTCCAAAAACTTCTTTACATGGACTACTACAAAAGCTTAAAATTAACAGTATATCACTTAATTATATCATAAACAACAATACGTGAACTACTCCAACATTAAGATGACATTAAAAAATATGAGGTCAACATTTTTCCCTACACCCAAGCAAACACCAGTTCTGATACAAAAACTGTTTCATAAATTTAGAAACTCTGGTCTGTCAGGATTAAATAAATTATTAATTTGTTAATGCAAATCGTCTCGTCTCTCTTTTATATATGATACTAGCAAAGTACCCGCTACTTAGTATGCGGAACAGGAATAATAAAATATTTCATATGGAAATCGTTGTACTATAGTTCTAAATTCCACCTCTATTCGTACATTTAATATCAAGTTTATTACCATTAAGTACTCTTCATACACATAAGCACTATTTTCCGAAATCCACACATTAGCAAAAACGTACAGGTTCCACATGTAATTCCATTTAGAACTTTTCGAACACATAATTATACATTTTCAAGACTACCTCTATACCGTCACCTCCACTAAATTTAGTACCAAAAACCCTTTGGTCCTTCTTTCTAACTCTCTGTCAATGACCAACATTCTAAATTTTAGGTTTCCAGCACTCTCCGTTACCCAAATTCAAATTATTCCAAATTTAGTGAATTTTCTATTCGATTTACTATTGGTATACATAAATTCGAGCTTCCAAAGTTGCCTCCATAGCTCAATACTACACTTCAACAGTAATTTTAATTAAAAAATTCGGGAGTCCAGCTCTATCCGTTCACACGTAATCAAGTTGTACCAAATATAGTACTATTTAGTACACATAGGTAATATGCTTCCATATCTCAATTCTATATTCAAACATCAACCATTAGTCCAAATTATGGGTTTCCAGCTCTCTCCGTTCACCCAACTCCATCTAGTGCCGTTTAGTACTTTTCGTACACATAAATACGAGTTTCCAAAGATGTCTCTATAGCTCAATCTTCAACAGAAATCTTAATTCCACATATACCTTTCGTACCAATAAGTACGAATTTCATAATCTACCTCAGTCGTACACTCCAACAGTCATTTTAATTCCCAATTTGAAGACTTCAGCTCTATCTGTTCACCTAAATCCAACTTCCACCAAATTTAGTACCATTTTGTACTTTTCGTACAAATAAGTACGATTTTTTAAAGCTAATTCCGATTATCACGATTCCATCTCTACACACTCAAATGAGAGTAATTAGTACGGAATTTAGTACCATTTTACACTTTTATACACATAAGTACGAATGTCTTAAACCATTTCCGTACATCAACACCACTTCCCAACCTGTATTCCATTTAAAATGTCAAGATTCAAGCTATATATGTTCAATATATATACAATAGGAACTAAATTCAGTAAAGTTTAGTTCCTTTAGTACACTTATAGGTCGAATTTCCAAAAACCCTTTTGCACATCTTTCTAACTTTCCATTAGTGACCAACATTCCAAATTTCAGAATTCTAGGTCTTCACGTTCGCTAATAAAAAGGGTACCATATTTGTTACATTTTAGTACTTTTCGTACCCTTCTACTTCCAACAAAACTTCCTGCATACCCCGATCCTACACCCTCATAATGATTCCAAATTCAAATTTAAATGTACCAAATTTTATACAGAGTAGTACGAATTTCCAATACTTCTTACTAAACCCACACCCCCACAGTTATCCTAAATCCAAGTTTCAGAATTCCAACTCTATCGGTTCATCCACTATTCAATTTGTACCAAATTTAGTACACTGTAGTACGAATTTCCAAAACTTCCTACTTAACCTAAACCTGCACTCCAAGTGATCCTAATTCCAAGTTTCAGAATTCCAACGCTATCGGTTCACTCACAATCCAAATTGTACCAAATTTAGTACACAGTACAATAGGAACTAAATTCAGTAATGTTTAGTACCTTTAGTACACTTATAGGTCGAATTTCCAAAAACCCTTTTGCACATCTTTCTAACTTTCCATTAGTGACCAACATTCCAAATTTCAGAATTCTAGGTCTTCACGTTCGCTAATAAAAAGGGTACCATATTTGTTACATTTTAGTACTTTTCGTACCCTTCTACTTCCAACAAAACTTCCTGCATACCCCGATCTTACACCCTCATAATGATTCCAAATTCAAATTTAAATGTACCAAATTTAGTACAGAGTAGTACGAATTTCCAATACTTCTTACTAAACCCACACCCCCACAGTTATCCTAAATCCAAGTTTCAGAATTCCAACTCTATCGGTTCATCCACAATTCAATTTGTACCAAATTTAATACACTGTAGTACGAATTTCCAAAACTTCCTACTTAACCTAAACCTATACTCCAAGTGATCCTAATTCCAAGTTTCAGAATTCCAACGCTATCGGTTCACTCACAATCCAAATTGTACCAAATTTAGTACACAGTAGTATGAATTTCCAAAACCTCCAACTTACCCTAACCCTACAACCCCACAGTGACCCTAAATCCAAGTTTCAGGATTCCGACTCCATCGGTTCACCCTCAATTCAAATTGTACAAAATTTAGTGCATAGTAGTACCAATTTCCAAAACTTCCTAAATACCCCAATCCTACACCCCCACAGTGATCCTAAATCCAAGTTTTAGGATTCCAACTCTTTCGGTTCACCTACAGTTCAAATTGTACGATATTTAGTACACAGTAGTACGAATTTCCAAAACGTCCCACTTAACCCAAACTTTCACCCCAGAGTGATCCTAAATCCAAGATTTAGGATTCCAACTCTGTCGGTTCACCCACAATTCAAATTGTACCAAATTTAGTACACATTATTAAAAATTTTAAAAACTTCCTACATATCTCGATCTTACACCCCAACAGTGATCCTGACTCCAAATTTCATGATTCTAGCTCTATTGGTTCGCATAAAATTCAAATTGTACCAAATTTATTACCATTTAGTACCCATGAATATAAATTACTGAAACTGGTAAAAAATTCCAAAACTACGTACATTACCAGTCCTACACTCCGACGGTAATGTTAATTTCAAATTTCAGGATTCCAGCTCGATTTGTATCTCCAAATTAAATTTGTACCAAATATAGTACCATATAGTACTTTTCGTACACATGAGTACACGCTTCCAAAACCATCTCCTTAAATGGACTCTACATCTCATCCCTAATTCGCATTCCAAATTTCAAGTTTTTAACTCTATCAATTCACATGCTACGAAATTGTACAAAATTAAGTACATTTTAGTACTTTTCGGATATTTATAGTTCGAATTCCCAAAAACCCGTTGGTACATCTATCCTACACTCAGCGACCACCAATCCAAATTTCAGAGTTCTAGATCTACCGGTTCGCCAAATACAAATGGTACTTTTTAGTACTTTTCGTACCGTTCTAGTACGAATTTCCAAAAACGCTTTTGTACATCTTCCTAACTTTACATCAGTGACCCACATTCCAAATTTTAGAATTCTAGCTCTTCCCGTTCGCCTAATACAAAGGGTACCATATTTGGTACATTTTAGTACTTTTCGTACCCTTCTAGTTCGAATTTCCAAAAACCCAGCCTTATCTCACGCCTACACACCAACCCACACTCAAAATTTCAAGCTTCTAGCTTTAGCCGTTTCGTCTGGGCGATGATCTGTCAGTCACTCACTCACTTAACACTAAGCTCTTTTATATATATAGATATTGTTATTTACCTCTAAACATTTTTAATAAATTTTATTCTCTTTCTAGTTGGATATCGAAGAAGTCTCTGACGAAAGATCGCTTATTAATGATAAACTAGAAAACTTAAATAAGTTGCTTCAAAATTCCGATTTAAGACGTCAAGCTCAAGAACTACTGGGAACCTATCTGCTATTCGAAAGGTAATTATATAGTATGTATGAGTAATACAACATTATTATTTCATGTTATATTGCATTATATTTAATATTGAAAACTTAGTGAATTTTGGATGTGTTAGAAAAATATTGTAAAATTATCTCTATTAAAGTGAACTTCAACAATAATACACTTTAATAGGTAAAAAGGTGATGTACAAGAAAATATTAAATTAAGAGTTAAAGGGCATATACATTAGAACTTTTTACCGGGTTAACCTACATTATGAGGAATTATTAGATATATATGCAAAGGAATTGACAATTGAAACCCACTGGGTTAACGGAATCCGGTTAAATGTAAACGTAGCTATATACTATGAATGTTTGTGCCAGAAACATATCTTAAGATTATATTTTAATATTAAATTGAATATGAATTCACCCCTGGCATTAGAGTCGCTGATCGCCCAGTGATCCATTGGCTGTACGGCCCATGACTAGGTAATTATAGCTAGTCCAAATTCTAACGAATTTTAATTTTGGATAAGAACCACAATTGAGAGGGAATGACATAATGTGAGATTACCAACCAGTAACATATATATTAGTGTAGGCTCTGCATACAATACAACATAATATTCAGTTCTCATATAATAGTTCATGAGAGAACATCGTTTGATCTCAAACAGATGTTTTGTTACTGAGCACTTTTTTTTTGCATATTTTCCTTTAAACTCATAAATCTTTTACGATTATTCAATTTAATTCATATGAGGAAAACGATCATTTTTTGAAACGATCAAATTATAATCGGTAGGCTGTACTCGATTCGGATTGTGACAGAAGAACAAAAGATCGCGGTTAGACGCAACAGCTTTTGTGCCCCTTCCAACTAAGAAACCAAATTATGATGGAGTGTCCCGATTTGTAATTGCCTCCGGTGTTTCCAACAACATATTCCAGATTGGTAGAGGCATCAAAAACATTTACCGTGAATATTCTGAAGTTTCTGAACTTCGTGGTTGGTACCTACTTATCAAAGTCAATAATATCAGAGCCTTCAAAAAGTTCATAAGTGCGAATTATATAGTTCCTCTTCCTAGATTGAAGCATTCTCAAAAACCGGATGAAGAGATACTCAAAGATTTAGCCGAATTCGATGTTATTGCTACACGGAAGTTTATGAAATGGGAAAGAAGTGAATTGTTTACCACAGGTGAATCGGTTCTTTCTTTTAATTTAATACATCCTCCAAACTTCATCGATATAGGTTGGCATACCATTTCCAGTTCGTGATTATTTCCCGAATCCACTAAGGTGCAAATGTTGGAACATACCAAAAACCATTGCATGGGTACTACACTTTGCAAGGAACGTGCTATAATCCCTCTACATAACAAGGAAACATTATGTTAACTGACACACACGCATCATACGACAGTACATATCCAACATTTTTAAACCACTAATCGGCGAACAAAATCAAAATCATTCAAAGGTACAATCGTAAGGCTTGGAAAATATTCGAGAGTAATCCGTTTTCACAAGTAATAAAGAATAATAAAGATGCTCAAAGAAAAAGTTCCTCCGAGGAAAACACAATATCTTCAACGTTACAGTCCAACAAAGCTCCGCACCAGTTGTTACTTCCACAAAGTCACCTTCACCAACACAACATAGATGACTTAATTTCCTTCTTGCTCTAATAATTCTAACCCCGAACATAACAACATATTAACGTAAATACAGAAAAAGAGAAATTATTAGATAAACTTCACACAAAAATATCAACTTTGAAAGCAAAAAAAAAAAAAAAAACAAGTTGTTATTTAAACCAGAGCTCCGATTTGCTCGATTTTACTCGCGAGTGAAAAATACCGATAGGGAGTAAGTAAAGAGTACGAGTTTTTTAGGGAGTATACTCTCCACTCTGGGAGTGCTCGCGAGTACTCCTTGATGAAGAAAAAGAGTGTGAGTCAAAATGTTCGAAATAGAGTATGAGTTCACTCTAAGAGTGAGATCGATTATTTTGTTTACTGAAAATGTGAAATACAAATAAAAATCTTATACCATATAAGATTTTTATATGTTTTTTATTTTAATTTATAAAATGAATTCAACCGTGTGATTTAATTAATTCAATATTTTTTTAAAAGCATAAACACCTCCAAACAAATTTTTAAAATGGTATTCATTAAAAAATGTGGAAAAGTATTCTCCAAAAATATTAAAAGCGCTGGTTTGAAAGAAAACCCATGAATGCATAAATGGTTCATTATTTAATTATAGTATCAAAATATTGTCGAGGGTTTCAATTTGGAGGCTGGTTCGTCTTGCTGTCACTATTTCAGACTTACATAAAGTGAACGCAGAGAACGAGCTTGTTGATGCATGCATTCCCAGCAGTACAGCAAACCAAACATCACAAAACAAACAAACAATGCACACAAACAACATCAAGTAAAACAACGGTATCACAACAAAAACATAAATAAAACTAAAAGAGTACTCGGCAAGAGTGTAATCTGCTCGATTTCGAGCGTATTTCACTCCCACTCGAAAACGAGCGAAGCACTTGCGCTCTTATTTGAGTGGCAGAGAAAAATAGAGTATACTCTATTTACTTTTTCTACTCGCAAGAGTACTCCCGCTCGAATTCGAGCGAGTTTCACTCTTCACTCGAATTCGAGCGAGCATTTCGAAGCTCTGATTTAAACGCATTATGAAGCTTCACCCAAAAAGTCATCATTAACAAGTATAGCACTAACATCAAGAAGAAATGCAATTGATGAGATGGAAGATGTCTCGTATGTCTTCGTAATATTAATTTACTCATGCTTATAAATTTTTCAGTACTAATGGTTCTAGATTCTAACATCACTACCCTACAGTGGAATACTCAAGGGTTCATTTGTCACAACTTTGCCCTTGAAATGTTAATAACTTTGCACAATCGTAGTGTCATTGTATTGCAAGAGATTTACATCACCAGGTTAGGTAATATTTCACCATAATAAAGACAACAACTTTTCAAAATCAGGAACAGCAATTCTAGTCAAGACTAATCTAAGTGAAATTAACATTTTCGAATCTTCTGAAAATTTTCTATTTCAGTCTTTATCATTAGGCTGCCTCTATACATTATAAACGTATATAAAGAGCACGACATTCCATTAACACGTGAAATGATCAATCCAATAAACGGTCCATCACTCCCACTATGTGGTTTAAATACTCAAAATACATTATGGGGATCTTCCGACACCTCTTAAGGAGTGCAGATAAAAATGGACTTGTTATTCTCAACGACGACTCCCCTATCTTATTGAGCACATACAGCCATAGGAATCTCCATGTGTCACTCTGATTTATCTTTTTCATTTTCTCATCCTCATATCAAATGCCATTCCTATCCCAATCAAGAACTTGTATTCCACGATTTATAGATACTAAAGCCACTGGAGCCTCTTTCAAACTAAATTACTTATTTAGATCTCCAACTTCATTAATTCGGAAAATGTTAATAAAGAGGCCAGGAACAAAAACATTTTAGAGTGTTCCGGTACACAAACATTAAAAAATATTTTAGTGTTACTGTTCCGGAGCACAACGAAATACGTAGTGTTCCACATCTTGTTACACTAAAATCATAGGAGCACTAAAAATCGTAGTGTTCCACTTGATAGAACACTTAACATCATAGTGTTATACTTACTAGAACACTTAACTTCGTAATGTTCCACATGTCGGAACACACAGAAAAAAGAAATTTATTTACTTCTATTTTTTGTATAAAGAAATACAATTGTTCGTTTGCCAGAATTCATTTTAATGGAACATTAAACGTTTATTGATTTAATTCAGATTAAGAAAACATAAATAATAAAAGAAATGTGCGACGTGAAAACATAAAATAATGTTAAAAACATACATACATTAGAACTTTTTACCGGGTTAACCTACATTATGAGGAATTATTAGATATATATGCAAAGGAATTGACAATTGAAACCCACTGGGTTAACGGAATCCGGTTAAATGTAAACGTAGCTATATACTATGAATGTTTGTGCCAGAAACATATCTTAAGATTATATTTTAATATTAAATTGAATATGAATTCACCCCTGGCATTAGAGTCGCTGATCGCCCAGTGATCCCATTGGCTGTACGGCCCATGACTAGGTAATTATAGCTAGTCCAAATTCTAACGAATTTTAATTTTGGATAAGAACCACAATTGAGAGGGAATGACATAATGTGAGATTACCAACCAGTAACATATATATTAGTGTAGGCTCTGCATACAATACAACATAATATTCAGTTCTCATATAATAGTTCATGAGAGAACATCGTTTGATCTCAAACAGATGTTTTGTTACTGAGCACTTTTTTTTTGCATATTTTCCTTTAAACTCATAAATCTTTTACGATTATTCAATTTAATTCATATGAGGAAAACGATCATTTTTTGAAACGATCAAATTATAATCGGTAGGCTGTACTCGATTCGGATTGTGACAGAAGAACAAAAGATCGCGGTTAGACGCAACAGCTTTTGTGCCCCTTCCAACTAAGAAACCAAATTATGATGGAGTGTCCCGATTTGTAATTGCCTCCGGTGTTTCCAACAACATATTCCAGATTGGTAGAGGCATCAAAAACATTTACCGTGAATATTCTGAAGTTTCTGAACTTCGTGGTTGGTACCTACTTATCAAAGTCAATAATATCAGAGCCTTCAAAAAGTTCATAAGTGCGAATTATATAGTTCCTCTTCCTAGATTGAAGCATTCTCAAAAACCGGATGAAGAGATACTCAAAGATTTAGCCGAATTCGATGTTATTGCTACACGGAAGTTTATGAAATGGGAAAGAAGTGAATTGTTTACCACAGGTGAATCGGTTCTTTCTTTTAATTTAATACATCCTCCAAACTTCATCGATATAGGTTGGCATACCATTTCCAGTTCGTGATTATTTCCCGAATCCACTAAGGTGCAAATGTTGGAACATACCAAAAACCATTGCATGGGTAC